AGTTCAGGCTGGCCTTGAGCTCACTATGTAGCCCAGGCTGGTCTCGAACTCTCAGCGACCCTCCTGCCTCAGCCTCCCGAGTGCTGGGATCACAGGGGTGCACCACCACACCTGGCAACATGTTTGGTCTTAAAAGAAAACAAGTAACAGATATGCCACAGGTCTGGCACCACTGTCATAGAGTATCCTCTTGCTGAGTGGGCCCAGATTGAGGCTTGAGGAGAGTTAACACCAACAGAAACTAATTTTCTAAAACTAACTGTGATCTGTCTAAAATTACCATCAAGGGAGCTGCACTGTTACTTGGGCTATTTGTCAAGCACTGTGCCAGATATTTCCTAAATATCATATGATCTAGGGCTCATGAAGAGCATGACATTAATGCTACATTTCTAGTTCATGGCAATACAGAAAAAAGACAGGCTAAATGGCCTTAAACTAATCCACAAAAAATGAAGGTATACTTATACCTGGCTTCCTTGGAATGTTTACTTCCAAGACAGCTCCAAATTGAGCAAATACTGTTTTCAAGTCATCTTCTGAACACTGAACCCAAAAGTGAAAAAAGAAAAATATCACAACAAATAAACATGACACATCAGCCACTAAGTTCTTCTTTAGGAAGAGTCTAAATCTTTTTAGTCTTTTACTTTGGAGACGAGGACACCAAACAGTTCTGAGTGGGGGACATCTTACTTTGTATCTAAGAAGCCCAACAGACAGACATTAGAGAGCTTTTTCAACACTTTCTCTGTGCCAGCTTCCCCCAAAAGAGACACCTTCACACTTAGTGTCCTTACTAAATTCTTGTTTATATAAGGCTGTTTTCTTAACTCAACAGGCTGAGGTTCACTCCCGGGAGGAATTAGGTGCACAACACCACCTTGGCGAAGGGTTCCAACAGTGAGCACACCCTAGTTCCAAGACCTTCAGGACGCACAGCTGGTTCACTACTTACCTTAAAGCTCAGGTTCCGAATAATTAATCTGGCTTTTTTATCTGCCACTTTGGCTTTCTTAGTCTTCAGCTCCTTCTTTGGAGATTCTGAATTTTCTTTAAAAAAAAAAAAGAAAAGCATGGGATGAATCTATGCTCTAAAACCACCCACTTCTAGAATAGCCTTCAGAGAGAAAAGGCTAGCAGTAACAGATGGCATTTACCAGAGTTAAGCATGGCAGTATCCAAAAACACCAGATTTCCCAGACTGAGATGAAAGTAGATTAAAATGAGCAATGAGTCCAACACTGAAAAAAATGGCAGGGAGCTCCAAGTTCTAGATGCTCCCCAGCTAGACGCCACCCTGCCCAGCTCCTTCACTTTCACAGTGCTGCTCCTCACCCTGCACGAACACTCTCTCAGGTTACTAGAAACTCACCACTTTTCCTCTTTTCCTTGGACTTGTTCCTCACTTTTTTCTTGGCAACGGTGACATTGATCTTGCAACCTTCAAAGGTAGTGATCTCCTTGAGGGCTCTCTGAACGTCTTCCAGCATGGAGAAAGTGACATAGCCAAAACCTCGACATGCTTTACTCCCTGGAACAAGGCAGGAAGGAAGGGAGTAGGGGTGAAAAGGACAGAGAATCAGAAGTCAAGAACACTAAACCAGGAAATCCTCAAAGCCGAAGCTAGAAGATATCCTGTGAAGCCATCCTGTGATGAGTTTACCAAAGTCTCTGGAGGGAAAAAAATAAGGCTGATGTCAGTGGCTCCTTCCCTACTTTGTTCAGAAACTGTTAGGTTTTCCTCTCCTGTCCTAATTTAGTGTCTTGCTGCTAGCTCCTCTTCTTCCCCTCTCAAGAATATGGAAGACCCATAATAGATTAACGTTAGACCCCCAAAGAAGAACTCAACATTGAATAGAAGGAAAGATCCCCAGGGAAAGTAGAAAAAGTAAGTATGATAGTTTTGAAAATCAGAATATAATAATGCAGTCCTTTCTTAGAATAGATCACCAATGAATGCCTGAAATTCTGAAAAAAGAACCTCAAAAAAATAAGCACAAGGTCCTGAGTTCAATTCCTGGTACCAAAAAAAAAAAGGCACTGCTTTGGGAGTCTGCAAACATTACCAAAACCTTAGCTATTCAGTATCAAGTTAAACCTTCCAAAGCAGCTGTAAATCTCTAAATTCAGGGCAGTCAAAGGTAGGTAAAGCTAATATTACCATCCTTTCTTTCCAAAAAACAATCTGAGTCAGGCATGGAGCACACACCTATAATCTCAGTATTTTGTACACTGAGGCCCTAGGAGGATCACTGAGAGTTCGAGGTCAGCCTGGGCCACAAAGTGAGTTCAAGGCCAGCCTGAACTGCACAGTGAGACTTTGTCTCAAAAAGACAAAAAACAATCTGCAGTAGAGAAGAATTAGTGAATGTTACAAAGGATGTTAGTAGCCAAACTAATTCTTCCTTATCAACTCCAATGTTCTTCCACAGGACTCCACAGAGAAGAATATTAGAACCAAACAAATAATTACAAATATCAAATGTAATCCTCCTTGGCACTTCTTTGGTATTCTTTTTTGGTTTAACATTTTTTGTATAGTAAAGTTTTAAGTAACTTATTGTATCAAAAGCTGGGTATGGTGGCGCACATGCTTGGGAGGCTGAGGCAGAAGCATTGGCATGAGTTTAAGACCAGCCTGGACTACATAGTGGTACACTGTCTCAAAAAAAAAAAATTACTTTATCAAAAAGAAACAAGGGAAAAAAAAAAGGAACATGACAGAGCCTGCGTGGTGGCACATACCTGTAATCCCAGCACTCGAGAAGCTGAGGCAGGAGGATCATTGCAAGTTCAAGGCCAGCCTGGGCTACATAACAATCTGCAGTTCAAGGCCAGCCTGAACTGCATAGTGAGACCTTGTCTCAAAAGGACAGGAAAAAAAAAAAAGAACAAGACTAAGAAGAAATAGAGCACCACCACCACAGAAGAAACAGAGCTCTAAGGCTCTACCTCTCTTTCAAAACCACTTAAAAGTTGACACCCAGCACCAGGAAAACACACTGTGATGTAGAGACTGATTTTTTTTTTTTTTGTCTTGAAACTCCCTCTCAAAAAACTGCCTGCTCACCTTTCAGAAAACAAAAATGAAAGCACTTCCTGATCAGTATAATCAAAAATTAAAGCAGCTCAAATGTGAAGGAATTCAGTACCCAAATAAAACCACATGCTAACTATAATTACATCTGCACAAAGCACTCACATCTAGAACCCTTACAACAATCCTGTGAAACTATCCCATCTTAAAGAGGTTAGATGACACGCCACTACTATAAGGAAAATCTCATCTCACCTCACCCATCCCACTGAATCTACCATTCTTTTCAATACATCTCAGCCATCTAAATAGGAGAGTGTAGTTTTCTCAAAATGAAATAAGAGGTGCTGTTAAGGTTTTAGACGAAGTCCACAAAGTTGGTAAGATTACACATACCCTATATTCTGAATACTTAAAGAATTCCCATTTCATGGTCTGTCCTTCCCTGAACATAACCATCTGGCACTGAATAGCAGCTGTTTCTCAAACAGTTTTGACAGCCCACAGTCAGGGTTCCTATACTGGAACCAGTAAAGGCATAAATTCTTTATATAAAACTGACAAAAGTTTTACAAATGAATATTTGTACCTTATACCATATATGGATGTATTCCTTTTATTCTACTTCATTTTTAAAAACTCTAGCACTGTCAGGTGTGGTAGTGTATAACTTGTAATACTAGTACTTGGGAGATTAAAACAGAAGAATCACAAGTTTGAGGCCAGCCTGGGCTACACAGAATTCAAGGTCAGCTTTGACTACACAGTGAGATCCTTTCTCAAAAAAAAAAAACAAAATAAATAAGTAAATTCTAGCCACAACTAACTCAAGACTACTAATGGAGGCTGAGCATGGTGGCCCACACGTGTAATCCCAGAACTTGGGAGGCTGAGGCAGACAGATCACTGTGAGTTTCAGGCCAGCCTGGGCTACAAAATGAGTTCAAGGCCAGCCTAAACCATGTAGTGAAACCCTGTCTCAAAAAAAACAAAAACAAAAACAAAAAAAACAACAAACAAACCTTACTTATGCCTACTAATAGGTAATGGGTAATAATTTGCAGTTTAAGAAAAATTAATGTATAACATTCTCATTCACTTATATCTATAGTTAGAATGACAAAAGCCAGGCCAGAACCACACTGATGATCCTAACTATAATTTCTCTTACTAGCAAATAGAAGCCATGGGGGCGGGGAGTCCATGAGATGCCAGTTCTCATCAGGTTTCCTACTGAAAGGCAAAGAGGCAGCCACCTAGAGAGACAGCCTGTTGACTTGGAAGGGAGTTAGAAGGACACTCTGGGTAACACCAGGTACCTATCCTGGGGGCCCCTTGACAGTTTAGGTAAGGGGAAAGAATACTTCTACAACCCATATAACTCTCTAACCTTAATAAATGCCAACTCTCCACCCTGGGTGATATGATACATATCAAACCAAATATGAAGCACACAAGCAGTATTCCACAAGTCAGCAAATCTCTCCAGGGTCTCAAGCCAAAAGCCTTGGAATCAGAATTGACTCCCCAGCTCCTTTTTTTCCTTATACTCCACATCTGACCAGTTAGCAAATCCTCCTTCAGAAAACATCCAGTATCCAACCACTTTCATTTTCCCACCTCCACTGCACCGTCCTGGTCCAACACCATGATCTCCCACTAGATTATTATAAGAGCCTATTAACTGGTCTCCCTGTTCCTGTCATATTCTCCAATAGTCTATTTGCAACCCAGGATCCAGAGGGAATCTTTCAAAACATAAGCAGGATCACAGTTACTGGTCTCTGATCAAAACCTGTGGTTCCCCATAAAAGCCAAACTCTTTACAATGGCCTACAAGAGCTCATGTGCTCTGGTACTCTAGAGCTCATCTCTATCTACCTTTCCTCAGTCACTTCACCCCAGTCCCTCTGGCCTCCTTGCTACTCCTCCCATACATCAGGCACACTCCTGCTTTAGTATCTTTTTTTAGTACTGGGAATTGAATCCAGAGCCTGGGACAAACTAAGCAAGTGGTCTACTGCTCAGCTACACCCTTGGCCCCCTTTTAAAAAATTTTATTTTGAGACAAGGTCTCACTAAGTTGCCTGGACTGGCCTCAAATTTTCAATCCTCCTGCCTTAGCCCCCCGAGTATGAAGAATTATAGGTGGCATGTAGCGCAGGGTCCAGCATGCTTCGGTATCCTTGACTTTGCTGTTCCCTCCACTTAGACTGTTCTCACTGAAAGACATACGTTCACCCTCTCACCTTGGTTTGGGCTTCTCTGGTCAACCTAGCTATACTTCCACTCCTACCCCTGCAGCTCTCTTATATTCCGACTTCCCATCCCCTTTCTCTGAGTTATTTTCCCCTTATTATTTATTACCATTATCACTATGTAGTTAGCTTATTTACTGGCTGTGGATTTCCAGTTTGCTGTGCACTGCTGTACCCCCAGGACCTACAACAGTGCTCCAGGACACTGTAGGCATTCAGTAACTACTCGCAGAACAGACAGACGAATGCATAGCATACTGGCTAAGAGATCCAAGTCTAGTGGTCAAATTCTAGGTCTGTTACTTCCTAGCTGTTCCAACTTAGTTACTAAATTTCCCTAAGTCCTCGATTCTTGTATACCAAATGGGATTAAGACTCCATAATAAGAATGTCCAACTCAGCACCCTGCAATCAGCTGGCTCCCAGGAGGCCTTACTAATGTTTTATTAACTGTTAACAACCTTCATTATTACAAATAAGACACATGTGAACGTGTATAATAAATGGAAAGCGCTACAGAAACTGGAGGATGCGTTGCCTCTCATAAACCAACCCCATGCGTCCACCTAAAGCAGTCACTTTGGAAGAGAAACTCCAGCTCCGTCTCTGCAGGAGGTGACGAGCGGCTCCCTGCAGCTCGCGACGCGGCCCCGCTGCCATCCCGCCCCCGGGAACCGCAGCGTCTCCGACCCCGCCGGCCCCTACCTTTCTCCGTCACCACGAAGCACTGCTTCACCGGCCCCACCTGACTGAACAGCTCTTCCAGCTGCTCACTGCGGGCCGAGGGCGGGAGGTGGCGCACAAACAGGGTCAGGCCTGCCATGAAACCGAGATCGTGACGCTACAGGCGACCAGGCCAGGGCACGCGACTCGAGAAGCTGGTTTTAACAGGACGACCACGCCAAGGGGGCCAGAAGATCACGGAAGTGCTCGTCGCTCAAAAGACTCCGGAGGAAAACGTGCAGAGAAGCTGAAGAAACGTTCCGGAGTTTGAAAAATAGTGGCCCGCCCAGAGGCGGAGCCTTTTGAGTGAAGGTCCACCTCCTGTCTCAGCACCGCGTCCCCGCCACAGTAAAGAAATTTGCCACCTACAGTTTATTCTGTCTTGTAATCTCATTTCCAGAGGTCGACTTCAAATTCACCAGAATAGGCAAAAGTCATTTTTGCGCCAGGCCTTATCCAAGATCTGACATATAACGGATACTTAATAAATATTTTCTAAAGTGTCACCTCAGATTTCCAGATTATGGGCAGAAACTGCAGCCAGAAAGTGCAGACACAAGTGTGTCACATACATGCTCAGATCCTCTGAGACAAATGTCACCTCGGCTTCCTTGACAAATTGTAGCTACTGAAGTGCGCATAGACAGAGATACACAACTATTCTCTCAATAAGTATTTACTGAGCCCCTACCATGTGTCAAGCACTAGGGATAAAACAGATGTGCTAAAAAAGACAAAGTCCCTGCCCTCCTATAGAATATCAGCTCATGAGTGAGATAGACATTTCTTTAAATTTTACAAACATATTGCTGGACATGGTGGTCGACTCCTGTAATACCAGCACTTGAGAGGCTGAGGCAGAAGGAGCGCCACAAATTGGGCAGTTTGGGTTACATAGTGAGTTTGAGGCCAGCTTGAATTACAGAGTAACACCCTGTCTCAAAAATAATAATAATAATAATGCATATGTATAGATAGATAGAGATATAGCTAGACAGATGGATAGATGGATAGGTAGATATCCAGGCATACTGCAAGATCACATGAGAGGGAACATAATACCCAGAACCAGCTCCACCCAGAGATAAAAGATCTTCCCCTAGGTAAGCTTATCAGACAGACCCACAGTTGAGAGGTCTCCCTGGCAAAAAGGATATCTAGGTGCTTCTGGGCTCCAGAACATACAGAATGTTTGCCATCCATAGGGCTAAGGAAGACCTGTGTACAAGAGCACTGCACCTGCAGAATGCCCAGCTGAAAGAAGTGCCCAAGGCATTTTTTAAAAATCATTGCTTTAAATTGTCCTGTGTCTGTGTTTGCTTTTGATTTTTTTTTTCCAGTGCTGGGGATTGACTCTAGGGTCTTATGCCATGGTAAGCAAGTACTCTACCTCTGAGCTACATCTGCTGCCCAAAATCATTACTTTTATTTCATTTTTCTTTACTTGGGCTTGAATCCAGGCCTTTCTCACTGAGCTCTATCCCCAGCCTATTTTTTATTTTTTTATTTCAAGACCCTTTTATTTTAAGGGTTTTGATTACTTGCCCAGGTTGTACTTAAACTTGCAGTCCTCCTAAGACTCCTAGGGCCCACTCAGCCAAAATCACTGCTTTTAAAGGATAGTAGCATAGCAGGTAGAAAATTCAAAAAGGGTGAAAGATGTAGAGAAAAAAGTAAGTTGCAATTTCTCTCAAGCCCCATTCACTTTTTTTTTTTTTTTTTTTTTTTTTTTTTTTTTTTT